TTGTAGTGCTTAGTCTGGCAGCTTTTACACTAGTGTTTTTCAGACTTTTTCTTTAGGCAGAGTCTTTTTTGCAGCTTTTCCAAATGCATTATAGATAATATCTTATTTCGTATCTATGCTTACTGTACTATTTTTATATTGCTCTGTGGCCTTTGTCTACTTATCAACTAAAATTTGGTCTAGAACTTTATTATACTCTTGCTAGTTCTCCTCAGTAGTGTTTTCCATATTGAACACTATTATTTTAGTTCTTGCTTTTCTGTGTGTAGCACTTTAACTTATGTGTAGATCTATATCTGATAGCAGAGTTGCACCTATTATATAGTGGTTACTATACATAATATTTTTGCATCTATATTTTCATATTCAAGGCAGTTCGATTTGCATTCTCTAGATACCCAAATGTAATCTATTCTTGTCTCTACCCCTCTTCCTTGCCACGTACTACTGTGGCTACCTGTGTTGGTATTTTTCCCCAAGTTTGTATAGCCTTTTTTTTTAAGAAACTTGAAAAGTTGTCCTATTACTTTGCATATTTTTCTTGATTTTCTTTTTTCTGCCTAGTCTTCTTTTGTTTTGGTATTAAAGATGCCTAGAATAATTACTCTTTTTTCTTTTCGCTCAACCTGCAAAATTTATTTTTTTATTCTTTTCCTAATTTTTTCCTTTTCCAACTTATTATTGGGTGGTATATATGCACAGATTATAAAATAATCTATTTTCTTGAATCATAACACTAGCTCAATTAGGTATGCTGAGCTTTTGTCTACTGATGCTATATGTTTTGCCCACTTCTTGTTAATAATAAACCCTACTCCAAAACTCTTATTTTTCTTGCATTCTAAATTAGACCATATCCCTATATACTTTTCAAACTTCTAAATAAGCTACTTGTCTTCATCATTTGTAATGTTCGTCTCATATATCCTCATAATATTGAAATTTTTCTTTTCTATAAAATCTATCAATATTTCTACCTTATTTTTGTTGATCTTTAACCCATTAATATTATGTGCTCCAAGTTTAATAATTTTTAGATTCTCCTCTCTTCTTTCTTCTACCATTCTTATCTCTCTTCTCATTTCAGAGTTTGTACCTATTGAACTTGATTCACCCTTGGCAACTTTTAGAAGTAGTTGGGCTGACTTTTTTCTTTGAGAACTTCTCGAAGATGTTTTCTTTATCTTTATTCTGTTTTTTTTTAAACTAGTTCTTGCTGCTTCTTGATTTTGTCTAGTCTTTCTAGTATTTTTTGAAGAGTTGAGAATATGCTAGAATTACTACTCTTTTCTGCTTTGTTTATACTATTTAAAAGGCCGGCCCCTTTCTTCTTAGGTTTTTTATTAAAGTTTTCTTTGCTTTGCCCTGTTGATTCTTGTGCAGCCATTTTTTCTTCCTCTTTTCTAGGGTTTATATCTAGTTTTCTTGTGAGAAGGCCTCTATTTTAAACTCTGTCTTGTAAGTTGAGCCTTTATTTTTTCATTAAACCACTCTGTCCAAACAAGTTTCTTATTAAAATAAAGGACTGATTGTTGGACTGCTTTTTCTAGATCTTTTTTGAATGCAAAGTATACTGACACTAAGCCTCTTTGATTGCTATAACTATTTGTTAATATGTATACTGCTTTAGCATTTACTCTTTTTATCTGCTATATTAAATCAGTTTCAATAGCACTTGTGAGCAGGTTTTTAATAATTGCTTTTAATCTACTTCTTACTATGATTGTTTCTTTGTCAAATAGCCCTTGAGTTACTCTTATCATTTTACTTTTATTAAAGTGTATTTCCCGTATATTTTTTAATGCTTCTAATCTACTTTGATTTCTTACTTCCAATTTGACTATGGCTGCTTTTGTTCTGCCATATAGTATAAAGCTTTTGATTTTTGCCTCACCATAGTATCTAAAGCATCTTCTAATTTGGTTTGCTCTTGTTTCGAATGGCAAGTCCCAAACTGTAAGGTTTATTTTAAATTTATGTCTAACTCTTTTAGTCTGTGATATACTAGATGCAAGCTGTATAACTTGGGCTATTTTCTCCTTTTTACTACTTTCAGATATGATGTTTTCTATGTATTTTTGCTTTTGAGCCACCTTGTCTATCTCGGAACTGGGGGCCTCTGTATTTTGTTTCAGGTTGTGTATAGATATTTCTAGTGACTCACATTTTGTAAAGAGGTCTTCTTTTAGATCTTGCTTGGGCTCTATATTGTTAATTAGTTCTTTGACTCTATAATCTTATTCTGCATTCCATTAGCAGAAGTATCTCTTTAATGTGTGATTTTTTTCTATTTAGAGCTTCTTTGGTTCTGGCCTCCTTCAAAAATAGGACCTTTGTATAGTTCAAGCTCAAAGTTTGTTAAGGCTTGGCTTGTCACTTCTTTATATCTAATCCAGTTAAACATTTCTACAATTTTTCTAATTAGGCTTGCTGTCTCTTCTGACTCCATCCCTAACCATGTTGCAACTTTTTTATCTTCTGATATTAGTACTTCTTGGTTAATAGTTCTAAGCAGATTCTCTCATTTTTGTTTGTCTTTTATGAAAAACTTTTTGTATCTAACATGTCCTTCCATTCTTGTCACATAATTCTATCACCATATTGTTTGTATTTTGTGCAATGTTTAATGTGGTGTGACTACCCAATACTCATATTGTTGACATGTTATTTTGTTTGCTTAGACTTTGACGTATTACGTGTTGTTTGTTGTTATAATTGATCTATATTATAAAGTCAAAGCCAAATTCCCAAACTAGAATTTTTGACAGAAAATTTTGTGAAAAAGTAGCAAATTTGTTTCTACTTTCTTTTCTGAGTGTTTAGGTCTCTGTTGGTTCTAACAAACCTACTGTAACTTTGGATACTGTTTTACTTTGTCTTATTACTAGAGTCTTGTTTGCTAGAGCTTCTAGCTTGCTATTTTGAGTTTTTCTTTAGCTAAGTTTTGGTATGAGGATTTGCAAGTGAGAGTTTTTGTAAGAGATCAGTACTTGACTAGTAATAATTATTATTTTTTTAATATATTTTTAGATTAAAGAATTTTTTAAATATAATATAATATAGATTAGATATAAGATTTAATTTTTTAACTGCAAATTTAATTTCTGTTATACTTTATAAATCTAGTTTAATATTTCTACTAATTATATCTTAACTATTCAAATCTAGATAAGTTTTAATCACTTTATTAGATTTAAATCTCAGATAAATAATTAGTCTGAGCTCTTATTCTTGTATATAGTTTATATTTATTTATTTATTTATTTTTTTTAGTATTAAAGTAATCTCTATAGCTGGGGCTTTTTATTAGATAATTAACAATGTATACAATTATAATGAGGATACAACTAGCTATATATACAACTTATGGTTATCTATTTAAGTAGTTTATCTGGGTTCTACACTAGCTACTATACCTGCAATCTAGCTAGAAGATTAACTATTTAAGCTCTCTTGCTTTTACAAGAAAAATACAACTAGCTATATTTGCAACTTTTAGTTGCCTATTTAAGTAGTCTGCTTTAGATTTTATACTAGCTGCATATATACAACCCAACTAGGAGATTATCTATTTAAACACTCTGATCACAATTTAACCAAGATATGACTTACTATTTATATACTAGATTTTGTGCTACTTATAGAATTTACACCTTATCTAGAACTACTTTATTCTTAAAGAAAACTTAACAGAGCAGTTATGTCTCATACATGTATTCATTTGCATGTTTAGTAACTTCTTCCTAATCTAGTATCTGTTGTGTTGCCACTACTAAGTTTATATTTTAAGCTATCTTTTAGAATATTGCTGTAACCTAATCTTTATCTCAAACTACAACCTTTATTTATTAGTAGTTATTACATACTTATTATTCTTTATTTGGATTTGCAAAACCACAACACTCACATTAAACTTTATTCTTTTTCAGATTCTTTACTAATCTCTTTTTTACTTCTAGCTAACAACCCAGAAGAGTTGGTCTATCTAGATCTTAGGTATTTATATAGTCTTTCTTCTCTTGGTACATGTTTCCAGAGCACATGTTCTTTCCTTTAGTTTGGCAACCTGGCAGTTCAGCTAATATATTTCTCTATTTAAGAATCTGGTTGCTTTGTTCTTTTATCTCGATCCCAGGTTCCAAATTTAGTCTTTCTGTAGTACTGTCAAAGATTGTACTACTTCCAACTCAAGACTTGCTAAACAGGTTTTTAGTTATTTTGATATTTCAAATTTATTATACCAAAGCTCTTATTCTAGATGATGTAATCAAGATTACAGATTTCTAGATCTTACTAATCACTGAATAGTTATTAATTGTATTACAGAACTATTTTTTAAAAATGTTATCTGTGAAATTTAAACTCTAAACCTGCTATCTGGGGGTGTAACAACTTCACTACTTTACTAAGTTGCTATACTCTAGTTTATATTTATTTATTTGTATATAAATTTAGTCTTTTCTATATATTTATTTATATAAATTATCTAATAAAAATTAGTACTTGGCACAATTAAATAAAAATTTGCAATTAAATACTTCTTAATGCTTATGTTTAAATTAGATATTAAATAATTGCAAATTAAATATATACTATTAGTTAACTTGCAATTATTTGATATTTGACTTAATTACAAGTATTAATAAGTATTTGACTGTCAAATTTTTGTTTAATTGTGCCAAGCACTAATAAAGATATTAGCAAGGTCTCACTTTTTAATATTTAAAAAAAAAATTCTAATTCTAGTTTTTATAAAGTTTTTAGAGATACTAGTATTTTTATTTAAAAAATTTAATTTTGTTTATATAGCATATTTTTAAAATATAAATACAATCAACAGTCACTCTGCTCCACACAGGTGCCAGGTAACATATACAGTTTGAAACTATTAAGAAAAACAGCACCCAGAGACCAAAAACAACTCCTGTACCAAGGGCAATACCCTTGTACCAAGAAAATACAAACTCCTGGACACATTTGAAACAGCAACTAAATACAAAATGGAAAAAGCATTTAGTTCCAAATCGTGAAGCAAAAATAAAGAAAACTTGAGACCACTGTAAAGTTAGTCAACTAGAGAAGCAAACAAGGATGCAAGCAAGCAACCTTTAGTTCAAAAAATGCTAGAAACAACTAACACAAAATGGTCAGAAGAAATGGAGCATGTATATACAAAAGAAACCACTTCACAAGTCACTAATATTTCGGAGAATGCCAAGGAAGTTTCATCAGAGAAAACTCAAGAAATTTCCAAAAATGTAGATGTCAACAATAATCGTTCTGATGAAAATCTCTCAGGTGACAAAATATCAGTTGACGAACAACTATTAGAACAACAAATAAGTAATGAAACAAAAAGTAATAACAACTTGAATACACACAAGAAAAAACTTCAGAAAATCTTTTGCTGAAGAATCACCAAAATTGTGGTCAAAGCTGTTTATGAAGTTCTCTAAGAGACCAGCTATCTTCTCCACATTCTCACCTCAAATAAGTATTAGCACCAAAAATGAAAATGCTCTCATTTTCGATATTCAGAATCTTAAAATATTTTAATTAATGAAATCATAATTGCTTTATCAGTTATATAGAAAGATAGGTTTAGACATCATAGAAGCAGTTTCACACTTCACTAAGGAAAAACGCTTACACATAGAAATAATCTTTGAAAATGAAATCAAATTAAAAAAATATACAATAGAAGGTATTACTATGTTTGGCCAAACATACTTCGAGTATATCTCTACTAGGTCAAACAGATCATTTCTTTTAGTCAAGCTACAAAAGCTTCCAATAGCGAAGAGAAAGCTTATCTCAAATGAAATAAAAGATGTATTTGATGACATTGGAGATATTGTCTCTATTAAACCACTCATTTATGAGGGTACATCAATCCTATTAGACCAGTAGGTTATAGAGTTTGATACTATGAATGACACAGATCTAGAAGAAAAAATTTCTAGGTCTATTAATATCTTAGACCAAAAGATCACTACTGAATAAAAAAATGCTCCAAAGGTATATTACTATTGTAATAGAACAGAGTATCTAAAAAAAGATTGTAAAGAATACAAACTGGCTATTAGGCTTAGGCACTACTATAAAGTCCTCAAGGAATCAAAAACAAAATCAAAAAAGGAATCACCTACTGCTTCAGCAAATCTACCAGATGCTGTTAAAGGTGTAAGTAATGCTCCTAAAGAAATAGAGGAGGGCAGCATAATAGAAGTCAGAGATGACAAACCTGAAGATCACAGAGAACCCACAGCAACTCAGCTCCCAGTTCAAGTAGAAACGCAAACAGAATATAAAAGTGGAGGGTTGGATACAAACCTGAAGTCTAATTAAGTATTAGACAAACAAGAATCTTCCAGCTCTCTTAACAATGATTCAACATCCATGTCAAATTTACCCAAACAGGTGGGATGTCAGACTCTAACAGAGATAATAGAATCAGATGCTCCTCCAGACCCGAAAGGTGAATTTATCGAGGTTACAAGCAGAAAGAAAAGAAAAACCACATCAAAATCAAATATTAATACCTCTCACAATGACAAAAATACACATAATTAATAGTGCAACATTAAATATTAAAGATTTAAATAATAAAAATAAAAGGGAACAAACACTTACTCTATTGAAGAGTTATAAGGTGGACATTATTTTGTTGCAAGAAACTAATTTATTTGACCAAAAAAATTAGAACTTCATCAAACAATAGTGGTGCTTCGATTTTAGCTGGTCCACAAGAATAGCGATACTTACAGGGAACAAAAAAATAAAATTTGACAAAATGAATGAATCACACAATAGAAGAATAATTACAATATACTTTACATATAACCACTTATCTTTTCAAGTTACCAACATCTATGCACCTCCAAATTAGTGTTCCTAATGAACCTAGGTTCAAAGTTCATGAACATGTTCAAAGTTTTGAATAAAGAAAAAAGCATATAATCG